TAACACGTGCCCTTACTTTTCTACTCTTTGAATAAAAACACTTCATTCAAGCGTTAGGGGGTGACGTGTGCAAGGGGTTATGATGGAGGGGTGTTGCAAATCATGAACACCTGCTAAGTGGTATGATAGCATTGTTTTATACATGTCCTCGGCTAGGCCTCAATTTCAAAATCAGTCCTTGGTCCTTGGCCTTGGCCTCGGAAAATTTTTCAAGTCCTTGGCCTTGGCCTTGCCTCGGAAAATTTTCCAAGTCCTTGGCCTCGGCCTTGGCCTCGGAGGCAAGTCCTTGGCCTTGGCCTTGGCCTCGGGTTGCCGGTCCTTGGACACATCCCTGATACACGCATACACATTCGCGCATGCATGCACACGTGCACACAAGAATGCCATGATGAGCAGCAGCCATAACTGACCCTAACATGAACAAAACAGAAAAATAAAGTAGATGGATACAAGAGTTAGTGAAAGGGGAATCACCACCTACCTTTGTGGGAGATGTGACACGAAGGCAGGGATGCATTTTTGCAGCGTTGTAAGTGCAGAAACATCACAATCGTAGCTGCCGTGTACCATTTTAAAATGATTCTCCTGGGCGCTCCAGTTTCCCATTCTTTGCCAATGCCATCGGCCAGTTGCAAATGAAACAAACTTTGAATGAGAATCACTAGCTGTAATTTCAGATTGCTGACCACTAACAACGTTTTTGTAAAACTCAGAGGATGCTTTCGCTTCTGTGTTGACTAACACAAAAATCTAGATTAATAAAATGCACACATTTTTTTCCCCCATTTCCCCCTGCACCCCTCATGGTTGCTGTTTGTTTTAGGTTGCATTAAAAAGCATAAAATTAGATTTGATGAGACCTGCAGATACTCTGTTCATGCCGGCAATGTGGACCAAAATCTGACCCCGGCCCATCCGGTACCCCATACTCCTGATGCACCTCCCACCCTCGTGGTACCCGGTCGAACGTGTACCACGTCCAAAAAGCACAGACGCACCCGTTGATCAAATTCCCACGCATCCTTGAGTACCCTGTCGATGGTGTCAAGCTTTTCCACTGTTCCACAACCAGGACAAAAACCACAGTGCTCCTCCTGAATCTGAGATTCAACTTCCTTATGGATGCAAATATCCAGTGGCAGAAAAAATTTCATTCATGAAGTTATCAGGACAGTTACCCTTGTTATGCGTATTTCTGATTCCAGTTGTTGAATGTGTGTCAAATTTCATACTTTTTTTTTTTTTTTTAACAAATGGTGACTTTAGGTTGTGTGTAAAATAGTGACAACCACGCAAATTCCTTGCGCGACTTGCATTGCTCACCCTCAGCATTGTTTGTAAAAATAAAGATTTACTTTGTATCAAATGACAGATCCATAGAATGACCTTCTCAACAAATGTCATCAAATATATTTAAGGAAACTAGGTTTTGCGATAGAATTGTGTGCAATAAATAATGAAACCAGTATTGTGCCACTGCTGTATGTAAAAGGTAAAAAGAATCGGCAAACTTTGGCCAGTGATTTTTGTTTGACATTTGAAGGTCTATAATCGTCCGATTTAATCGGCCAGCTGATTAATCGGTCAGACCCTGGTAACTAGGATCTTGCATAATATAAGTCAACAAAGCAACGAGAAATGAATTGGCAAGAAAAAAAAGGTGATGGCATGCATGCACTGGCATGCCATTAAGTGATTTGCTACTTGACACTTCTTAATGATAGAACACCTTGCACATTAGAAATAAACAGAACGGTAAGGAATACGTCATTCAAAAAGTGATAGACCTTGTGATATTTTAAGTTTGGGTGTCATTTTTTTGTGTTTTAGATCTCCCTTTTTTTATTTCACCCCCTTCCCAACAGAAAGCGGTATGACAAGGCAGAGACGGAGTATGTCGTGGCCAAGTTAGAACTCCAGAAGAAAACAGACATGAAGGAGCAGCTGACAGAACACCTTTGTGCTATCATCCAACAAAATGAGCTACGCAAAGCCCTCAAGCTGGAAGAACTGATGCAGCAATTGCAGCTTGAGGCCACTGAGGAGGAGCTCGGAAGGCAGAACGTTGAAGACGACAATGTGAGGAGCTTTGAATTGCAAGGACGTGTGAAAGAGCAGCATGGTGTCTCAGAGAGTCAGGAGGCAACAGTGCAATCGACATGCACAGAGGAGGAAAGTCAGAAGAAGGACGATGGCCTCCAGCTGGAGCACCAATTGAGTGATGAAGTCCAGCCTGGGCAAAATTGTAAAGCGGAAGTAAAAAAGTGTTGCCAGGATGAACCGTTGGCTCAGACATGAGACATTGTCCATTCCTCAAAGAGGGAGTCATAAACACTACAGCATTGTATAATTTTCAGATTATATTTACATATTCAGGGTGTCACGGTGGGCAACTGCTGAGCACATCCGCCTCACAGTGCGGAGGTGTGCAGGATTCGATTCTGGCTCCAGCCTTCCTGTGTGGAGTCGGCATGTTCTTCCCGTGCCTGCGTGGGTTTTCTCCGGGTACTCCGGTTCCTCCCACATTTCCAAAAAACATGTATGGCAGGTTAATGGAACTCTCTAAATTGTCCGGAGGTGTGAATGTGAATGGTAGTTCGTCTATGTGTGCTCTGCGATTGGCTGGAAACCGGTTCGGGGTTTCCCCTGCCTAATTCCCGAGGAGAGCTGGGATAGGCTCCGGCACGACCCGTGACCCCTTGGATAAAGCGGTTCGGAAAATGAATGAATGGATGGATGGATTGATAATTATGGCCAAGCTGACAGGCATATGGCCAGAGGAGAAAAATAGCAAATTTGTGAGTTTTTCAGCAAGATTCCAAAAACAAAATTGGCGGATCACGAATATGCAAGGAAGTATTGTCCAGTATTTACATCTGGATTTGATACACAACTTAGAAGGAAAAACATTATTTGTAACTAAACATCAAATGTTTGGGTGAGTGCTAAAGTATTGGACATACTATAAATTTGAAAAATACTTTATATTAAGGGTTAAATTATTAGTTTGCAAAAACCATAAATCCTATGGAACTTTGACGTCACCAAACTTTAAAGTAATTCTTTTTTCAGGCTTTTCCAGACAAACAACTGTGTCACATGTTCCGATACTTATACTGTCTCCATGATAAATGGGTGGGTTCAAACAAAATCAAAATTGGGTATCAGATTACGATGTATGTACCGGTACAAGGAAATAAAAGTGTAAACATTGAACCTTTGCGTCAGATTTCTATTTTGTTGTTCAAGTCAAATGTTTTCACTCGACAGCAAGTGAAGAGAATTGTGTATTTTTACATACAGGTGCATTTAAATACCCTGTGGTACTTTGTTTCAAAAGCGAGTTTGTATTTTTGTCTGTTCATGAAACACATGAGCACATATTACAAGTGTTTAATTCTTTTAATTGAAAAGATTATGGTTTAAGCGTTACTAGGAACTTAAAAACCCCATAAAATTTTTAATAGTGGTACCTTAAAATTTCAGTGACCCAATTTATTGCTTTTTGAGATATGAGCCACTGCTGCCCCCCCCCCCCAAGTCTTGTGAGCAGTGATTTATGACCCCCCACCACTAAATAGCAGCAGACAACTGCAACATCAAACAGCAGTTTGGCACTTGGTGACATATTCTTGTGTCAAGTGTGCTCACTTCAAGCTGTATATTCCCACTCCCAATTAAATTACACTGTGAAATTGAACTTTAATAGAACTTCACAGTTTGTGCTTTAAAGGGGAGTCTGTAGTTTTCAAACTACCTTGTCTGAGGAAGAGGAACCAATCAGAGACAGAAGGCATGACCAGTGTGAAAAATAATGCCAAAAAACGTGCTCCCACACATGGCGGTTGAATCGGCAGATGCTAAAATACAGTACAGTGATCCCTCGGTCTAATGCGGTTCACTTTCCGCGGCTTCGCTGTTTCACTGATTTTTTTTTTTGTGCAGTTTTTTTGATGCTTTTAAACGGTGAATTGCGTTCTGCATCCTGATTGGCTAAGACACTGACCGACGTGAAGAGTCTCCGCACCTCGTCTCTGTACAGCTTGCCAAATTTACCTTTGCAAATTTTTGGTCTTTGTTTTCATTGTATCAGTGGCTGATGCTGGTCTGTCAAGGAGGGGAAGCTCAATTTCGGCCTACATCATAAAATGTGTCCGTTTATTTATACGTGAATTCTACTCTCCGTTCCTTTTCAAAAAATTGAGAAGGTTGCCTTCACCAGAAGATCGGTGATTGGCTCATTTCGCTGTCAATCAAAAAGAATTCAGCCTCAGACAGATCATCCAATCATCATACAGAAAAGCCGAGTTTTCCGGGCCAGCCGATACACGGCCACTCTCCATAGACTCCCAGAAACGCTGAGCGTCCGATGGGCGGGACAAAACCAGCATTTATCCAATGACTCGTCTCGTTTCAATGCATTGGGACAACCTACACTGAACTCTCTCGACGCCCAGCGTCCGTGCTGTAGACGCTCAGCGTCATCACAGTTGAAAGCACAGTGAAGCTGCGGGAATGAATGAGAAGAGATTCACGTTGTAACCAGTAATAAGAAGCTGATTCGGAACAAAAGTTGAGCGCGTTGTAGTGCATATTTAGTCAATGACGTCCACCCAATTGAACGTACACACATGTATTGATCACTTTTTGACATTTTAGGGGAAGCTGAGCTTCCCTTGCAGTCTTAGAGCAATCGACTCTGCATTGTATACATAGTTCCGTATTGAATAATAACTGTAAAAAATAAAGTTGACTATCAAGTACCAAGTAAAACTTTATTGTCAAATGTGCTGTATGTTTCACATACAGCACATTTCACACAAATCAGCAGATGCTAACATATCTAATAAGAGTGCAAGACTTGCGTGACGCTGTTATAAAATGGTATATTGACCACACATTAAGGGGCATACCAAATCCGCTATATATATATATATATATATATATATATATGCCTGATGCAGCCAAGATTTGCTACATCCGACTGAGGCCTGGGCTAACTGGCCTAAGCCTGAGTCATCCTTCTGGAGTCTGCCTGGGCTAACAGCCTTAGCCTGCTACATCCTTCTGGAGCTTGCGCTGAATGGACTGAGTTAGCTACATCCTCCTGGAGAATGGGGGGAGAAGCCTGAATCTTCTCCATTCTCCTGTCGGCTGGGCTGAGAGGCCTGAGCCTACTATACTCCCTTGGGGCAAAGGTGGGCAAATCCTGTCCTCGAGTATCCTGGATGTTTTATATGTCTCCCTGCTCCAATACACCTGATTCAAATGATCAGGATTATGAGCCAGCTTCTGCAGAGCTTGCTGATGTGTTGCTGCATCTCATTCATGGCAACACTCTTGTTTTTAGCAGGTAAAGAGAAACACTACCACATAAATTACTGTCACGCCTGATCTCGTTACACATGCATAACACAGTGTGTGTGTGTGTGTGTGGGTGTGTGGTGTTAGGATGCTTTATCAGCGTTTTAATCATCACTGACCTCGAGAGTTCAGCGGTGCTGTGGTAGCGACCTAGGGCACACACTGAAAATAAAACGTCTCCAGTGTTGTCATCTAACCAAGTGTAGTCATCCGAAATGATGTCTACACAAAACCGTAGAGAGACTTCCGAGCAAGAAGGACCAACAGAATTAACATAGCCTGACTGCTGTGTTCAAAGGAAACTTGAGAAAAACAAAGTATGCAACCATGGCTTAAATCCAATATAGGCCAAGTACTAGTTTACCTTAGATGTGCACTTTATAATGTTATTTTGCTTTGTTTTGATTCCACAAAAAGAGCTGTTAAAGCAGCTGTTGTGTGACAAAATATTTTTTTCACTGTTGTTGATGGACAGTAATATTGTGTGAGAGATTATGTGTGAGTAACTGCTCCAAGTGAAAAATGTTCATGTAAAATTGAAAATCTAAATTATTTCAGTAAATATTTGCATTTTGCACATAGAAAACTGATTCATGATTCCATGTCGATGAGAGCATTGGAGGAGGATTGGAAAATGGATGGATGGATGGAAAAATACATGTGTGTGTGTGTATAATGTCAATGAGGCACTAATCATGGCAACACAAGACCAAGACCTAAACACAAGATCCATAGAGGGTGGGTCCACCACATCGGACAGGATCCCAGATGTAGGCTGTACAAAGAAGCCCCAGATGTAGGTGTAGCATATCACAGCACGGTGTAAGATGCTGGCCGGCAAGCCATACATGGAGTGGCATTACCAGGTAGCTGGAATAGTGTACCGGAACATCTGTGCCAAATACGGATTCAAGGTCCCAGAATAAAGATAGCAGACAAATCAGAAGGTGATTGAGAACAGCCAGGCCAAGATCCCGTTGGACCTCCAGATCCAGACGACAAACTGGTGATTGTCAACCAACCTGACATGGTGGAGGATAAACATCAGAAGACAGGAGTCCGGAATGAAAGTAACATAATAATAACAAAACAGTAAAATCTGGAGAAATACCAAGGACTTCAGGAAGAACTACAGAAAATGTGGAGGGTAAAGGAAACAGTGAAGGCACTAGTGATCAGGGCACTGGCGGCAGTTACCCCAAAGTTGGATAGTTGGCTCCTGCAGATATGAGGAACGACATCTGACATCTCCGTGCAGAGTGCAAGACTGGAAACAGCTAAGATCGTGCGCAGAACCCTCAAGTTCCCAGGCCTCTGGTAAAGGACCCGAGCTTGAAGGAGATACCGCCCTGTTGGTGAGGGAATGCTTAATTTCTCTCTTTCTCTGTGTGTGTGTGTGTGTGTGTGTGTGTGTGTGCCCCCCCACACACACACATACATATACACACACATACACACAAATCAATTTCCGCTCAAGTAGAGACGTGTTAAAAAAAATAATGATTTAGAGATCATATTCAACCTCCATTTAATGGAATACACTACAAAGACAAGATATTTAATGTTCAAACTGATAAACGTTAAATGTTTTCAGCAAATAATCATTAACTTTGAATTTTATGGCCGCAACGCATTCCAAAGAAGCTGGGACAGCTGGCCAAAAAGAAAGCTGAGGAATGCTCATCAAATACCTGTTTGGAACATTCCGAAAGAAGTAGCTTCCCTGAATTGCTCAGTCATTCACCTCTTAGCCCTCAGGAACAGTTCAGAAAATCAATGAGAGTAAATATAGTGCGGCGCCACATCTTTAAAAACATAAAACTCTTCTATGCAAAGCTAAAGCCATTTATCAACAACACCAGGAAATGCCGTCGGCTTCTCTGTGTCTGAGCTTATCTTAGATGGAAGTATGCAAGGTGAAAAAGTGTTTTTTGGGGTTAGGTTCACTCTGAACCAAATAATGTTTTAGGAATCCAAATATGCAGGCTCAGCGAAAGTGCGACTACAAAAATGTTTATTCAAGAAAATCGCACAGACAAAATATAAACTGAATTCGCTGGTCACAAAAAGTCAGGAATAAACAAGTCATGAAACAAAAAACGCTTTGAAAGGCAAGGTTAGAT